ATTAATATAATTAATTGTCCCTAGTTCCCTTTCACAACCAAAGTCATTTTGTTGGTGACGCGTCAGTCCGATGACGACAGTGGGGAACTCCGGTGATGGATGCGGACAGGTCACAGGCATATCGGTAGCGACAATCTAGGTGAAAATTTTGACGACCAGCAGTGGCGGTCCGCATTTAAAAGTCTATGGACTTTTTGAAAGTCAATAAACTTATCCATGGATTTAAAAGTCTATAGAATTCATTCATAAAAAAGTCTATGGATTTAAAAGTCCATTGACTTTTTTAAAAGTCCATGGATTAAAAAAGTCCACAACAATCCATATTGAATACACCCCCGTAAAATTTCGTTCTCCATTTCTTCTCCAGGATTTTTGTTTGTAAATAAATAATAAATAAATAAAAACAAAATGTCAATTCAACCCTAGCAGCTTAGTTAGTTTTTTTGCACTTTAAAAAAAATTGAACATGCAGAGCCCCTTTCGTGACCCTGTATATCGTCTTTTATCAGTTTTATCGGTACGCGCTGAATACGTAATTTTGTATTCAGAGCTGAATTGTACGTAGTATAATAAAAAGAAAAAGTAAAATTGAATTTACTTTTCAGACTGTATTGGATGGAGATACTTTAGATGATCATTTTAACTATTTTCATATTTTTTTTTCCTTATTTTGTTAATAAATAAATTTTGTATATAATTTTTTTAATAATTCAGCTAATATAGCCACTTTAGTCAGAACTTCATAAATTTCAGTCAATTTCAATGTTACGGAACGGACTCCTATTTAATACAAAACACGTTTAAAATACACTAGGTTGATCCATTTGGAAAAGAAAAAAAACTCCTCCCGTACGGTATAAAAAAGCTAATAAACATACATTCCTGTGTATTTTACAAAAACTATAATCCTAAGATCAATTGAATCAAATAGGAATATTAAAATTAATATTTTTTATGATAAAAAAAATTAATATTTTTCTACACCTAACATTTTTCTACTACTTCGTATAAATTCCTACACATAAACAACAACAATAACAACAACATTAAAAAAGAAAGTAATAAACGTAGTAGCCGCACAACTTTCTTGTACGCCATGCATCATTTTGATGAAAATGATGAGTTCAACTTGAATGTTATTTGATGGTCATATGGAGATGATGATGTTGGCTTGGTATCATTCTATCCTTATTATGCCTTGTTTTTTTACATTATCTTGCATAATTATATCTTAGACTTAATTACTATTTATAATTTTGCCATCAACTTATGTAATTATGATTTATTCTTTAATGCAGTAATGATTTTTGCTACTTGAATATGTGTATAATTTTATTTCTTTTTACTATATGCGTTTTTGACGTATATATTTAAAGGTTCAAAAGAAGACAGTGTTTTTTTTGGTAATTGATATTGCATTATACACGTATACTGTATACGTTTTTACGTGTTTTTAAAAGTCAACTCTCCTTTTCAATGAATTTTGACCATTTTTAATCCATATTTCTGAATAACATGTATACATTGAATCTCTTTTAATTCTCGTAACATATTTAACTAACTAGGATATCGAGGGGTAGACATGGGTATTCGTTTGTTTACTTGGGACTTTCCATCCTTCATTTAGTTACAACTGACATTGATGATGATGATGATGATGATGATGATGATGATGATGAGTGGATGACGACTAGTGTTAAAATTTGAATGGAAATAACTTATATTGAATTATTGATGAGAAGATTATTATTCTATATGTGTTTGTCTTTGTTTAATTCCAATGATGTGTGTTGCACACTTGTGATGTTTTTACTTGGAGGTTTTTATTGTTAGATCAATTTAAATCAGACCAGACTTATCATATCAACCCAAGTTAGATCAAGTATGAACAAATTTCTTCAGTTGTAAAATACACACAAATCAAATATCAACCAGACCAATTCAGGCTTACATCTCACCAGACTGGATCAGATCACATTAGGGAATAAAGAGCCCGATTAAAAAATGCTTAGAACCCTGGTAACTACTATCTTCACTCTATCAATCTTATCAATCATTTTTTACTGAATAAGTAAATTTTTATTTGTCGCGCTGAATTATGTTATAATAATGAAAAATAAATAAGGTTGGAATTGCTTTTGAGATCCAATTAAATGAAATTGTGAAAAATGAGCGTTCAGGTTTCCGGCTAGGGGTGACAGTGGGTTGGATTTATACCGGGTGGAGGCTCATCCACGTCCACCCGTTAATTTTTCATACCCCACCCAGCCGTCCATCATCCATTAAAAATTACATCCACATTCAACCCACCCATCATGAGCGGGTTATCGGGTGGATCGAGTAACGGGTGAATATAAATGGTTTAACTTGAAAGACAAAATAAATAAATTATAAATAGAAATTATAATAATTAAAAGTCAAAATTTAAAAATTCATTGAATAATACTCTGTAACAACAAAATTTTGAGAAATTAAGTATGTTACAATCATTAAATCACTGCCAATAAAGAAAGAAGTTATTGTCAAACAAAATAGACATAAAACTTTTTCAAAATGTCAAATCCAACAGTTATTTTTGCAATTCAACTGCCACTTCTTGAAACTCTTCAATTGTCTTGATTTCCGCAATTCATATATATGTGTCTTATTCATTAACAAATACATATTATTACTCCGTAGTATATTAATTTTACTAGTAATTATTATATAGTATATTATTAAATAGATATTATTAATTATTCCATATATTATTATATAGATATTATGCGGGTTAGCGGGTGGGTGGATGGAGCGGGTGAAGGGTCGGGTGATGGATTGGATGAGTGTTCATCCACACCCGATCCAACCCATCTTTCAATCCACGCGGCATCCATTTTTCATCCATACTTTTTCGGGTTTTCATCCATATATCCGGTTCAGATTGGCCGAATATCCGCGGGTGCGGGTGATATTGTCAACCCTATTTCCGGCCACACGCCTAGTAAATACAGTTTAATTATGACACGAGTAAACTAAAATTTTAAAATTTAATGATAGTTATCTTTTTCATTGATATATTTAACCAAACGTTAGTCATAGTCATGCTCGTTACTAGTTAGACTAAAAATTACTCATTGTTACATTGGTGTACTTTGGTACTATAAGAGCCTCTTTGATAATATTGATAATATTGGTAACATTGAAATTGAGTTGATTCTACTCAAATTTATGAAGTTCTGACTGAATTGACTGATTGTGATGATTTATGAAAAAATTATATACGGAGTAAAAAACATTTTTATTAATAAAATAAATGAAAAATTATACTACCTTCGTTCTCTAATACTTGATCCTCTTTCCATTTTGAGATGTTCTCTAATAGTTGTTTCCCTTTCCATTTTTAATTTTTTTCAATAAATATACATATATACCATCATTCTCTTTCCTACTTTTTCATTCTCTTTCCTACTTTTTCATTTAAACACAACTCACTACACCTTTTACACTACCCCTATTATTTTCCTTTTAAAACTTGTGCCAAACCCTATAAGGTAGGGCTGCACAAGAATAACCCGAACCCGCATAACCCGTCCGACCCAACCCTACCCGACCCTATTTAATCGGGTATTTGATTTTTAAAAATATTCACGAGTTAAATATGTTTGAACCCGCACCTAATGGGTAGGGTTGCCGAATTAAAATCTCAAACCCGATAGTACCCGACCCGGCCGAAGTTCATTTTACTATTATTGTGCTACAACGTTTTCTTGGATAATTTCAATTTAAGATCAATGTGCTCTATCTAGGACTTTATGATATTAGAATTATAATTAAACATTTATCATTATGACTAGATGATTATTATATATTTATGTTTCCTTCTAAATGAACTTCATTTACAGAAGAATGTTTTAATATTATTACCTAATGTTTTTGCTTATAAAAGATACGAGTTTTTGTATGTTTGTGTTTTGGAAACAAGTTAATCGAGTTTTAAATCGATTACATTAATTTCCCACATGAAAGATGCAACCCGAAGTTATTCCCCCCCCCCCCCCCTCAAATACCCGACCCTACCCGACCCGTTCATGCATGGTTTACCAACTTATTTTGCGTACCGCGGGTTGGTTAATAGCCAACCCGAACAAATCGGGTAGGCCCAAAAAATATAGCAAACCCAACCTAACCCGCCCGATGTGCAGCTCTACTATAAGGACATCTAATAGAGAACGCATGGAGTATGATCCTCTACAGTAATTGCAGCCAATACAGTTTAAAAAAGAAACTTCATCCTTACTTTTTCTTATTATTGCACAGCTCAGCTCGCGAAATCAAAATTTTCATGTTTGGTGAAAAAGTTGGCTGATAAGTCTGATATATCGAAAACAGGGTCACCAAACGGGTTCTAAATGTATTCCGTATATGAAACGATTTTCAATTTCTAAGTAATGTTAAATTTAATACCATCTTTTAAGATATAGAATTGTGCTGGCAAATATGATTTGTAAAAAAAGAAGAATGAGATTTAAATAAGGATTATTAGCTAAATATAGCTCCAACTATCATCAAATTCACATATTTATCTCAGACTTTCACTTTTATTAAAAAAAAAGACTCAATCTTCAACTTTTGGCACAATTACACTTTCAACGGATGAATTAGCAAAAATTAAGAAGAAAATCATATTCATATTTCATATCTTTTACTTGTTTCTGTTTCAAGTTTACAAATTTGTATTGCTTATATCTAATTGGCATTGATAAATATGTGTAATATTAAAAAAAAGTATAATTGTTGAAAAGGATGAAGTTTGAGTCTTTTTTGTAAAAATAAAAGAATATGATAGATTTATGAATTTGATTATAGTTTGGGATAAAATAAGCTAATAATCCTTTAAATAATAAAAATTACCCCATACCATACTCCAAATAAGCCTAATCATCCTATAGCTGCCCCTTGAAATCTCTAATAAACACTTAGCCAAACCCTATATAAGGATTCCTCCCTCCACTTGGTGCATCCTCATTTTCACTTTCATCAGGACTACTGTCGTCTTCCTTACCTTGGGTTTCCAACCCCAAATATTTTAAAGAAGATATTTTTATATATAGCAGAGACAAATGGAGGTCTATGGTAATGGTTTCTTGGAAGAATTGCTATCTTTGAGATCAAGTGATTCAGGAGAAGTAAGCTGTGTTACTCCTATGGAAATGAGCATGAACAGTGATACTTTCAATTACAGCCCCAATGTGTGGGCCCCTTCCTCTATTGAGGAAAACACCATTCTTGATTGCAGTGGAGAAGACCAAATTATACCCATCCCCCCTACTACTTCTCCTTTTGATGGCTACATAAACTGTTGGCCATTTGACCATCAAATTCTCATAAACAACCCTTCCTTCTTCAATGAAGAGCTCTACACCCCACAGCTCACTGAGTTACCAGCCCCACCATTTCAGTACAGTAACAAAGAGGAGATCTTATCCTCTTCTTCTTCTTCACTTGTCTTTGACCATGAGGTAAATTCCTTTCACCATATTCAGTGTAAAGTGGAGCCCACAGTTTATAACCATCAGTACAGCAGTGGGGGTGGGGGTGAGCTATGGCAGAATGGGAGTTTCAGCATTGGGTCATTTTCCCCTGAGGATGATAAAAAGCTCAAAAACAAGAAACTGGGTGGACAACCTTCCAAGAATCTGATGGCTGAGAGGAGGAGAAGGAAGAGGCTCAATGACAGGCTCTCCATGCTTAGATCAATTGTCCCCAAGATTAGCAGGGTAATTATTTAATTTAATTTCTTTATTTAGTTATAGGTTTCTAAAATTGAATGTACTATGATTGTTTTCCTGCTTTGGTCATTTTAAGCACTTGACACCGTTTTTACCACATGGTGAAAACATCACATCAAAAGAAAAACTACATTCTTGTTTAATTTTAGGGGTGTTTCGAACTGATTCTGTTTCTTTTTTAAAGTAGAATCAGAATCAGTTTTCAGAAGCTGGTCACCCCCAGCTTCTAAAAAAAACCGATTCTAGGAGTAAAAATAAGCACCAGAATCACTTATGCACTTTTACCCAAACACCCCCTTAATCATCACTTTTATCCTATACCAATTTGAGGTTATTGTCATTTTTGCTAATTACTCCATAGTAATTACTACGTATATATCTTTAATATGAAATCTCTTATTTGAATTTGATATGGTTTTTATAAAATGAAAATAAAAGTTATGTGATTGAAACTTGTTCCGAAATGAGATATACTACAGGGTATAACATTAATGCGTTCTTCGTTTGTTTCCAAATAAATATTTCCTTCTAATAAAGTTTGACCAAAAATTTAACAAAGAATATTTTCACATTCTAAATAATTCATTGGTCAAACTTTATCACCATTAATCATTAATCAACAAAAGTTAGACCAAATTTTAAGTGAGGAGAAATATAATTTAGATAAATACAAAAAGTAAGAGGATAAGGATAAAAACTAAGGTTTAGACAGTGCTCACATTCCACAGAAGGGTCAAATAATTCCTGATTTAGCCAGAGGGGAGAGTGGGGTTTACTAACTCTTACTCTTGGTCCTATTTTTACCTATTACAGTTATTGTTACCTATTTGTACTTTTTTTTACAGTTATTGTTCAATAATTAAAGCACATGTTTTTGTTTGCTTAGTTTTTTTATTTAATATTATCTATATTTTCATTTAATCAGACCAGTTTTCTAATGGAGGTTGGAACATATAGAGTCAAAATATGAACGGCACCTTTAATTATTGCAATAATACAAAGTAAAAAATCACATAAATTGAATTGAAATATGGAGTAATAATTTGAGTACTTTTTACTCCCTCCGTATCAGTTTATCTGTCTCAATTTTCTTTTTGGGATGTATCAAATAATTGTCCTATTTCCGTTTTTGGAAAGAATTACATCCTAATTGGGGAGAACACAAGTGTTGTTGCATCATGCAAATAGTAATGTTGCACATGTGTTGTTGGCAGATGGACAGAACATCTATACTTGGGGACACAATTGATTACATGAAGGAGCTGCAAGAGAGAATAAAGCATTTGCAAGAAGAAATGGAGTTGGGGCCAGATCAGTTGAGGTTAATGAGCATCTTCAATGATGGGAAACCAGATGAAATTTCAGTCAAGAACTCCCCAAAGGTATGGTTTGATGACTTTCCTCTTTTTGAGGGGTCAATCTGTAATTTGTGAATGTATTGGCAGTTTATTTTATTGTTAACTTTTCAGCATATCTTTTGTGGTTGTTGCAGGTGGATGTGGAAAGCAAAGAGAGTAGCTGTGATACCAGAGTTGAGATTAGCTGCTCAGCAAAGCCTGGCCTTCTGCTCTCAACAGTGACCACACTTGAGGCTTTAGGCCTAGAGATTCAACAATGTGTTGTTAGTTGTTTCAATGATTTTGCAATGAGAGCTTCCTGCACTGAGGTAAATCAAACTACAGAAATATTTTCCTGTTATTTTGTTTAATTTAATCTCTTTTGAAAATAACAGTTTCTTTTCCTGTAATAGTAGGTACTTTTTCTGTAGTCTTTTTACTTGTTAAACTTTAGAAACAATTCTGATTGAAAATGATATCTGAAACGAGTGAAAATTAAGTTTAAAAAATTACATATTTAGTCTTTTGTGAAATAATGATTAGTATGTGACTAATAGATAGTCGATAAATATATGACTTTTTATTACTTTATTGTTCTTTATGTAGCACAGATACTTCACTAGTATACCGTATCGCGTATCGGAAAAGTTCCCGTATAAAAAATTATGGGATACCTAGTATCGTACGTTTTCGAGACTTATCTGCAATTTATTAAAATTTTCCAACTTTTTTGATAATTATTTTCAAAATGCAGCAAGTATCATGCCAGATACACATATCAACTTTTTTACAAAGAACGGTTCAAAAAAACTTTTTTATAAAGAAAACACCCAAAAAATTAATAATAAATGTTTTAAAAATACGGAGTATATATTAGAATTTTTAATTTTTTAATCAGAAAATTGTTTTTTATCTTCATTGAAAATCTTCTACTTAAGAACTTTAAGTACTTGCACATTTTTTTTTAACCCGGAAGGCAAACCACCAAAATCAGTGGGGCAGATGCCGGGAGTCATTTGCCGTTATTTTATTAATATGCCAAGAATACAAAAGAGAGGGGGACCAAACCAGAACCTCTCACAGAGGCATACCTCTGGTAGAACAGTTAATTAATAAAATCGAAAGAAAGAGAGGCCCAATTTATCAGCAACAATTGATCTGCGACTTTCTCGTTTCAAATTAACGACTTATTGACTATATAAAATTATCTATAACTATTTTGATAACGTGAAATGTTTCAATGCCATGAAAGGACATGAGAATCTTTTAATATTTATAAATGTACTCTCGTATGTGTGTCCTACTTTTTTGTTGCATCCACGTACCCGTTTTCACGTTTCTGCTCCCTTATCGGTGCTACATAGATTTTTTTCAATAGTTCTGTTCAACTTTGTACCTATAACTATTATATACCAAATTACCAATAGGTTATTTAGGGTATGTTTGACACAACTAGCTGTAAAGATACTTTTGTGAGTTTTTTTAATATCTGTTAGCTTTTAGTGATTGAAAAGATTTTAAAAGGAAAAGGTGGTAGTTGTTTGGTAAAAAACTGACAGTTTGATTTAGTTCGATTTGGTATACAAGCTGTTCGAACTATTAATTCTAAAAGGCACAGACTTTTCTTAGATGCTACTCCTCGTAGCATCTAAAAAATTGTCATGCCAACATACATCTGCTAGAAGCTTTTAGAGACTTTAAATAGTACATAAGCTAAAAACAGATATTGATGCTTGCCAAACATGCACTTAGTCCGTTTTTTTATACTAAGAAAGTGAGAATTGTGTGGTAAGGAGTTGCGCAAAGGAGAGAGAAATATGTAAGAATTGTTGTGAAACACAAATTCATTGTTAAAAAGGGAAAGTGAAGTTCTTTTTTGAATGGATGAAAAGGGAAAGTTGGAAGTATTTTCAGGGACGGAGTAAGTAATGACTTTTATTTTGACACGATTTATGGAAACAATTATTTTTCCCAAGTATCCAACTCATAAAAAAGAACAAGTATAGTAGGGGATTATGAGTAGGTTAATGCGTCAATTTCAACATACTTTCAATAAAGTCAGCTATTCTTCTCATTTCGGCTTGAAAGGTGCCTACAAATTGATGGTTTACATTATCCTCCCGATCAAGTAATCATAGGATGAGAAAAATCATACTTTTGGCCTTTTGGTTATCTGCTTTTGAAATTTAGTCTTTCTATTTTCAAATTTGGTGCGTCCACTTTTAACTTTGTGAGAAAATTCTTTGACAATTAGGATTTAGGATAATAATGGAATAGATCCACAATAGACAGGTTTGAAACCGAATGGAATCAGAACTCGAATTGCCAAAATCAATATATATATATAAAAGAGGAACTTTTCAAGAGCATACAAAGCGCCACATAATCCTGCCACGTCATTATATAAAAGATTTTATTGGATTCCTATTAAAATTAATATAGAAAAAATATATATACGTTCATAAATGTAAAATGCTTTTGATAGATTCCTTTTACGTATAAGAGATTCCTCTTATACGTATTACATTCCTATTAGCTCATTAAATTTTAAAATAATCAATATTTTTGTACCTTTTATTTATATTAGATTCTATTTTTGATTGCATATTAATATGAAAAATAAAAGACCGTAGAAATCCACCTTATTTATTTGAGATTTGAGAATATTACCCGGAATAGGAGCAAAAAAGTGAAAATTTAAAAATATGCCTGTCATGTTTTTATTCCTAAAATGGGACTTATTACTACGTACTCCGGATTATGTTTTGACAGTACCAGACTTCAAACATGACAGCATTTTTCAAACTGAGTAATAATTACTCCTATTTTGGGAATAAAAACATGATAGCCCTGTTTTGGAATTTGGGAACTTTTTTAATCCTATTTCGGAAACTTTCCCTATTTAATTTGGTAACTTTTCAAAATCTTTTACGTATTTGAGAAATATTAACTTTAGTAATTGGAACCACAACAATTAATAATCAAATTTTAAGTATTGGATCACACAGTAACAATCATGTAATTATTTTTATAAACTTTTTATTTTTTACTACGTACTACTCTGTACATTCTATCGAAGAGATGAAGTATCCTTTTTTTTGCCCACTTTATAGATAAATCAGCAAAATTGCAATTAATTTTGTCTTCAAATTTATGTGATTAAAATATCCAGTCCCATTTTCTAAAATATAATATAATATTTTTCTAAACTCAATGTTGAGATAATGATAAAAATGTGTTAATACTTTGTATTTTTCTGCATCTTCATACAATTCTTTTTTATTTATTAATATAGTGATGAAAACTATGACCATCATATTGTTGAAATTAAAAACGAAATTAATACTATTAGATTATCAAATATATATATAATCTCTTAAAAATAATACTTGTGATCAGGTAACTTACCTTATTTGATAAGGATGAAAATTAGTATCTCCCTCACACACGTGTATGTATGTATATCTATCTGTATATATATTTTCACAAGTAAATATGTTTAGGCTATATAGCCAAAAAAGAAAATATGATTGGTTGTTTCTTTATTTTTACAACTAGAGTTTAAATATGCTTTCATTATATTCCTAATCCAAATTTGAAATCTTTATAAGTTTAAAAATTACTAATTTTTATTTAACAGAGTGTTTTTATTAGATTGATTTAAGTTCCACACTAAATCAGATCATATCAAAGTTTAATAATTATAATAATAATAAGTCACATAAAATGTAAAACAGACATCTACCAAACCATATTAATTCAAACCAAATCAAACCTAGACTTTTAATTTAATTAAAGATGTTCTTATTAATGAGTAAAATGTAAGATCTCACTATTTTTGAATTTTGACTCCACTTTTTTCAAAGATACGGAGTGCATATACCAACATTTGTGTATAGTACTGATAAAATTTTATATGCACAGTGGGTGTATACGTGTATTGGGGTCACCTTAAAAAAACACGGGATTGGTACGTAATAAAGTAAAACTTGATTGGTACATAACTTGAGGAGTATTAGAAAAAAACTTGAGATGCATAATAAAGTAATTTAGAGGATGAGCGATTATGAATTCTTTAAAATCGGGTTCATAACAATTATATTTACTTGTTGGCCAAAAACACCAATTATATTACTTGAGATGCTTATGTAGAAGATCATATTAAATATTTTTCATATAATTTTTTTTGTTTTACAAATCGAATATTTTACAAATTTTTGTTATGATTGAGAAGATTTCACCTATTCAGCCTATTCAACCAGAATTTAATCAATTTCAACAAAATAAGCTAATTTAGTATTGTCAAACGGACTCTATATTAGAGTGAGTTTAATGTACTTTTGCATCACATTATATATGACCTTGAAAAAAATCAAATTTAAAACTAGCTAAATTATACACTTCCCGTGCATTGCACGGGCTTGAGAACTAGTATTTAATATTATAGGAGGAGTAAATAATAACGGCACGTGAAAAAAATATAATGAACACGCCAATATGTTTCAGTGAACATATCAGCCATGCATATATAATGAATAGTTTAAATTATTCCATTCTAAAATTGAGAGAATCGTAATGCTTTATTATACAAAAATAATGTGCGCACCCTTTGGTGGATCATAGGATTCTAAGACTTTATTTAATAGAAATAATTACAAAAATAAAGATAGTTTACAAAGAATACTAGAGTTACAATGAATTCATAATAATTTATGTTTAATTTTTAAACATAAGATATCATGATAATACATTGTGGTAACTATTAGTCGTATTTTTAATGAGTTTTAATTTAGTAATATTTTTGAAGAAGAAAATCGAGTCTTCAAAAATAATATAACCATGAGTTTTAATTAGGGGTGGTTCGGTACGGTATACCTTACATTTTTTCTCATACCTTTGCCATACCAAAACTTTCGGTATGCAAAATTTGCATACCTTACCGAAGTTTCGGTTTACCGCATTTCGGTATACCGAAGTTTCGGTTCGGTAACGGTACGGTATCGGTAAATTACCGTGCATGTCTCCCAATACAAAAAATTATCATAGACTAACAAAATATACTAAATCGTTATTACTAGCGACATATTAAATCTATTATTAAAATGTTACAAAATACAATTAATAATCTATTGATGTCAATTCAATACGGAGTATTGAACAATAATTATTATTAGTATATTTAAGTAGTTCAACATGCCACACATTAAAAAGTAACACATCCTCCTAAAATAACTTGAACAATATAGATATAATTAAATCAATAGTGATCTCTAACAAAAATAAATAAAACTATTCAAACAACATGGATATAAAATCATTTATTCCTAATATGATATTGTGTATTTAGTCATTTTTATATTTTTTTAAAAATTGAATAAGACTTTCGGACAAAGTTGTGTGTCACGACTCGCGGAATCTCTATGTAGATACACTTGTCACATAAGTGTATCTCTCTTCACTCGTCAGCTACTTAGCGGCCTAGCAATCACGACTTGCAAGCTCTTGGAACAAGATGCACTTGTTTCTTGACATTTGTACATTATTCATTAGGCATTAAGGTTAGCGTAACAGAAGCCTATAAGGTTATAGTGGGTTTGAGAAATTGGTCCTTTATTTTGTATTTTTGTATTTGTAACCAACTTCAGTATTAATTTTGGGCTTCAAAATTGTAATGGATTTTTACAATATATTAGAATTAAAAGTAATTGTTGAGTAGGGAGTCGGTACGGTATTATACCGGTATACCGCGGTATTTGAAAACATTTACCGTTACCGTACCGAAATAAATCGGTACGGTATGATACCGTACCGAAAATGACGGTATACCAATATTCCAGTATTTTCCGGCATTTTTCGGTACGGTAAGTGCAGTATACCGATTTTTCGGTATTTTTGCCCACCCCTAGTTTTAATAATACATTGAGGGACAACTAGGGATGGACAGGGTACGACGCTTCAACCCAGTCCAGAATCGAGTCTGGTACTGTTTGAGACCGAACCGACTCTGTTTAGAGCGGTTTCACTCCTAGGACCGTACATGTCGCCCTAGCTAGAACGACGGTTCATGGTCCTGCTTTCAGCCCCAACCCGGTTTTTTAGTCTTCGGTCCAGTTCAAAAACTAAAAAAAATCATGGGAGGGTCTGGGATTAGGACGGGACATGCCGGATACCCGAGACCAGACCGTCCGAGTATCCGGAACTTGACCACGTCCAGAACCAAGCCAATTTTTTTTTGTACCGGACGATCTCGGCCCAGTACGTGAACCGGACCAATGATGGTCCATCCTTATGGACAACGTTTCGCAAACGGCCATGAAAAACGGCCAACGTACGGTGGTCCATTCTTATGGTCTTCATAATTGAGGAAGCAAAAACATTTCCTTTCTTAAACCAAACAAAAAATGTATGTTTTCCCTGAAAAGGTTGTGCGTCTTTCATTGAATAGTTGTGGTGTGTCAAAGAGAATTAATACAAACTCTTGAGTCTTGTCTTGTCCAATTTCGCGTTTCCTTTTTTTCTTTTTTCAATATTCTGTTGCATTCTTTGATTTCAGATACTACTTATTGTGTTGGAATATTGACTTTTCCCCCAAATGTTTATGATGATGATAGGAATTGAGGAAAAGTGAAGCTTTGAGCGCCGAAGATGTAAAGCAAGCTTTGTTCAGAAATGGTGAATATGGAGGGCGGCGTCTTCATTAATAAAAAAAGCAAGTTGAAAACTTTAATTTGGATGATTTATTATGTTTCAGATTAGGATGTATTTAGTATTTACTGCTCGAATTTAGTGTTTGCTTTTTAATTAATAAAAAAAGCAAGTTGAAAACTTGGCAAATTTCTAATTTTGTGTATGTTTAATCCTATATTTAGCACATTTCTAATTTTGTTTTGGTTTGATTTGCTTAAAATGTCACATCATTTTTTGGTCAATTAGGTTGACCAAACTATAAGTTCTATAAAAAATGATGACTTAATTATTAGAACTATTAAATTTTATAAAAAATATCCTCATCAAAGTCATCATTGTGTTAATATTTCTTTTGGGGAAGATAATAACAACAATAATAATAACAAAATAGATTCAATACCAGTTTAATTTAATCGCTCATATTTTTACGCCTATGATATGTAATAATCCATATTTTAGAAGTTGTATAAAAAATCAATCATCTAATAATTTGGTCCAATATTAATCTTCATTGGGTTCAAGGTCGTTATTTTCTTCTTCATCCTCCATGTCCCGATTCTCTAAATAGATCTTCAGAAGTCAGATTTTCAGAAGTCAGATTTGTTCAGAAGTCATATCAATCATCTAGATTTTCAGATGTTCAGGGTCGTTATTTTCTTCTCCAAATAGATCTTTGGAGATTCTCTACTTGTTCTTCCTCTTCCACTTCTAGGTCACATTCTCCATTCTGCTTTAACTCTTTGTATTTGTGCATGTCCCAGTGGCTTGTTGTGCTAACTGTTGATCCTACTTGTTCCCAAGTCAGGTCATCACCTTGATTTACAAGATCATGAAGTGTTTCATCACCTCGAACAACTCGGACATCATTTTCATCAACTTCCCTTAAGAATATAGGATCCCAAGTCTTATTGTCAATGTTGTGCTTTCTCTCAAGAAATTGTTGTTGCAACTTTTTGTTATACTAGATGTAGATAAGATCATTTAACTTTGACCGCATCAAACAATTTCTCTTCTTTCAATGTATCTAAAATATTACACATGAAAAAACACATCAAGCATAATACTTATGGGCTAATGTAGATGCATGATGATGTGAATTTCCTATTATGTATGTTTGTATTTTTAACTAGTTTTATTAGTTCTAGTTGTGGAAATTACACACTTTTAGTGTAATACTTTATTTTCTTTAATTATTTGTAATTTATTTAGATTAGGATTATTCTGAGCTTAGGTCAGGTCTAAATCATCCCAAGAATCAAAGGATGGATCCTAAAGACCAAAGAATGTGCAAAAAGGAGAAGATGAAATGAATATTTTGAAATTTGTTCAATACTCGGTCGAGTATTGCCAATACTCGGTCGAGTATTGACCGGATACGCTGGTCAAAATCAAATCTGGGAGCAAAAGAACATGGCTGAATATTTGATGAAAATCATGTCTCATACTCGGTCCAGTATTGGCAATACTCGGTCGAGTATGCCTATTTGTCACAATTTCCTGGAAACTACCTCCAGTACTGGATCCAGTATCCCATATACTGGATCGAGTACAACACCCTGTCACCTCCATTTTGCTATAAATACACCTTTTTCCTTCACATTAAAATCACCATTTCACATATACTCTTAAGCTCAGTTTAGATTAATATTTTCTTTTTATTTTTTATCATGTTTAGTCTCCAAATGAGGAGCTAAACTCTTCCATCTTGGTTTTGCTACTTTGAAGCTTAATAGATTGTAAGTTGTGAGTTATTTTCTTTAATCTTCTTCCTTGAATATTAATCTTCTTCTTAATACTATCTCTTTATTAATGTTGGGAAGTGTTGACAATTAGTTAACATCTCGACATTAGTTATAATATTATTTATTTTCTTCCTCTATATAAATGTTGGGAGTGTTGCTAATATGACAATTAGTTAACATCTTGGCATTAATTATAGTAGGATTTATCTTCTTTAATATTCTTCCTTGAATATTAATTAATTCCTATTCATATTTCATATTAATATTTTGAGCATTACTTAAAGGATCAAATAGTTTTGTTTCATATATTAATTATCACTAGAATCGATCGACGAATACGCTTGTTAATCGTTCGGTCTTTTCACGGAAGTAAACTTTGATTATTAATGCATGCGTCTCATGGTTAATAATCTATGGGAAATTAATTATTATATTGATTAAATCAATAAACCGCTTGTGTTGAGGTTATCAGTCTCAATCGTTTTCATATTAAGTTTATTGCTACTATCGGGTTAATATACGGCACGTGTTCTATATTGACTCGGTAGTAAGTTTTATTAATGAATGTGTCTCGTTATTAATAACTTCCCTCGATGAATTCGATATACTCCTCGATTGAGTATTTGAGAGGAAGATAGTTAAAGATATAACCGGGATCGACGAACATTTCATTAAGTGGATAAAAGCAAAACCAAGTCTCAATCTCAATTAATTAAACTCATATAAGTCATTCATCTTCGTATTTAATTAATTTAAATCAAACAAACTCAAAATCCCCCTTGTTACTAGTTATATAAAAGAGAAATATTTCTTTCCCCATGGATACGAACCTTACTACGCTATATTACGTATAAGTGTTGTATTGATAATTATTTTGACGCACTTCACGACAAAGTGCTTGTCAAATTTGGCGTCGTTGCCGGGGAAAGGCAATTATTTTTCTTTTTATTTTATTTCAAGAAAAAAATATATAAACAAATAAAAGTATAAAAAAAATCTATTTTCTGAGCTTACATGAGTATACTGGATACCAACACATCATCCCTAGAGAGTCAAATTTATGTCTTGGCTTCTCTAATAAAGGAGTTTATCTTATGCTCAAAAGCTCAAGATGCCAAGACCTGCACATTTGCATGTCTGGCAAGCATCTTACGGATTTTTGCCCAAAGTTCCAAGAAGAATACCTTGAACAAATCAATGATGTTGGTTTTCAAAGGAAAATACCTCACATGAGGTGTGATCCATTCTCCAACATGTCTACGGAGGACATGGTTCGGGCTCTTACTACCAACATGACTACCATGCAAAATAACATGGTGCAATTCCAAAATGAGACCAAGTCTAGCATTTTAAACTTGGAAAGTCAAGTGAGTCAAATAGCCGGAGCCGTGAGTAGGCTTGAAGCAAGGGATTCAGGAGAACTTCCCTCTCAAATAGAATGTGATCCTAAACAGCAAACTTTTGCAACCACATTGACAAATGAGAAGAAATTGCAAAAGGAGACTCAAAATTCAAAAAAAGAAGCCAAAGACACGGAGCTCCAACTGGTTAAGGAAAAGCGTGAGCCGAGTTCCAAATTCAAATTTATATCCTTGTCGTCCTTTGAGGTACCCCCACCATTTCTTGAAGTTTTGAGGGAAAGTCATAAAATTGAAAAAGACAATGACATCTTTGAAATCTTTAGCAAAAGTGAGGGATCAAAACCTTTTCCATTGACCATGCTAAATGACAATTTTTTCCCCTCAATCGCACAACATGAAACAATGGAAATCTGGATCTTTGATCCTGGAAAGATTTTCAAAGTGAATGGTTGGTAAATTAAACATTTCTATGAAAGTCCTACTGTCACGCCCCGGACCTATCCGGACACGTCAACAATCCGCCGTACAGTACGAATAGTCAACCGCAGTCCAACACATCAATACTATACAAGGCGTCTGGAATATCATTCACACATAGTACATCCATAAATAATAAACATAATGTAAAATATTCATTTAAAAACAGCGGAAGTAATATTTCAAGTGTTCAAGCCACACTTGGCAAACATGGGCATACAAGCCCCTGAAATGTATATTCAGAAAATAATATCCATGAGCATTATTCATATTGTTTTTCCAAAACAAGAACGGGAGAAGCACGAACCAAGTCTTTGTTCCTGAATCTTCCCGAACACACCAGCCGGTGGTAGCAACCTTCAAGTTCTACCTGAAACTATGAGGTGGCCTCCCCCGTGAAGGGGAGGTCAGTACTTGGAAGCATTTGACAATTACAATGACAACTATACTAAGTATAATCAAAGTTTCAATTTCCAAGACCCTCAGACTAGGGTGTTATCATTTCATAATTAACTTTATTCGTTTAGTGTCAATTCATCGTTACTTACCACGGTCTAGAGCCCAGCTCAATAATCACCGTTACCTACTACGATCTAGAGCCCAGCTCAATAATCACCGTTATCTACATCGGTCTAGAGCCCAGCTCAATAATCACCGATAACTACTACGGTCTAGAGCCCAGCTCAATAATCACCGTTATCTACGTCGGTCTAGAGCCCAGCTCAATAATCACCGATAACTACTACGGTCTAGAGCCCAGCTCAATAATCACCGTTATCTACATCGGTCTAGAGCCCAGCTCAATAATCACCGATACTTTACAATTCAATATCTTAGGATCCATTCATCCATTATTCAACTACAATTTCAACTAATATCTCAATACTAGTCATTTACTCATTTCAATATAATTCTTCATTCATGTGTAATTTGGCCTTAATATCAAAATATCACTTTTATACTTTCATGGCTTCTTCTCATGAAATAAAAGTGCATACTTATCATAAATGGGATTCATGGTTGATTCAACTATCATGCCATCATATTCATAACATATACACATACACAATTTATTCTTAAATTTGTAAATTATGCAAACTATACTTATAATCAATAGTAATTTCATTTAGGCATTATTAATCACTAATAATCCACGCAAATCACATTTTGTATTCATTTAGGAAATCTCATTAAATTAACCCAAAGATTATAAGCAACATAGTCGGTCATCCTCACCTTAAGTGAGCTTACGCGCGTTCTACGCTCCCCGATTGAACTTTGACTAATTCCGGCGAACTTTGACCAACTCTGGCGAACTTTGACCAACTTCAGCGAAGCTCGAAAATACTCTAATCAAGTTCCTAACAAGGTTTTAACATCATAAAACCTTAATCAATACACATAACCTCTAAAAGGTTATTTTCGGTGAACCGGTCGTTTTGCCTTCTAAGTCCATTCTTGGACATAGAACCACTTTCCAACCCATTATATCACACTCATATCATGTAGAACAATCCTAAGGATTCTTCATATGATGGAAGGAAAAATAAAGAAAAAGTTATGATAAGGTTATTACCTTAATTTTCACACTTTTAGCACCTTAATTCCTTTTCGTGAGATCCTTTCTTGTTGAGCTCTCTTCAA